CAACTCAGCGTATTGTCTGGGACGGTCACTTTTTTTCCAGATAGACCCAAATACGCTAGGCAGGCAGTGACTGAGGAATGCACCGTCATCCTGGAACGGAGCAGGTGGAAGGTTTTTGAGGCCAGCAGCACGATGACAACTGAGTACAAATATACACTCGGACACCTCTGAGGCTGAGGGCGTTCTATGTCCACCTTTCTGTTGGAAGCCAGCAGTCCTAACTGGAGGCTGCAGGTGGCCGACTGTATTGTTCTTCGAAATATTGTGCTCAGAGGTCCAAACTTTCTCCTTTTCTGGATACCAAAGAGCCATTCTGGTCCCCGGTAGTTTTGCTGACAAGTGCTCCCGACAAACAATCGAACCAATCAAGTGGAACAACCCGCAGGCGTTTCCAACATTTTTTGCCTCTTACATTTCGAGTCCACCATATTTCGCCTCCAAGGCTTTGTTGTATTTCCCGCACTCCCACTTTCTGGTGATCAAAACTGTGGCAATTGGGACCAAAAAGCCTATGGTAAACAGTTTATTGCTGATAAATTGAACTGGCTCCACGGTCTGCATGGACATTAAGTCATACCCGGCATCGGTTTGAGTTCTGATTGGGGCCAGAAGGAATCTGTCGCCGGAACTCCACAAAGTCACGGTCCTACCAGAGATCCAATGTTTGAATGAGTTGCGTCGCAACCAAGAAATAATCGATCAGCTGTAGAATTTTGGTGCCTAGCTGCCATGCCACCAGAAGGAAGCACGAGGGCTGGGATACATCCAGGTCACAGCCAGCCACCCCAATTCTACGGGGAAGTCGAGTGGTATAGCCAGAAGGAATCTGTCGCCGGAACTCCACAAAGTCACGGTCCTACCAGAGATCCAATGTTTGAATGAGTTGCGTCGCAACCAAGAAATAATCGATCAGCTGTAGAATTTTGGTACCTAGCTGCCATGCCACCAGAAGGAAGCACGAGGGCTGGGATACATCCAGGTCACAGCCAGCCACCCCAAGTCTACGGGGAAGTCGAGTGGTATAGGTCAGGTTCGAACCTTCCGGTCAGCAGGTTTGCGCTGCAACTACTGAGCCATCTCGCCGCAAACTGAAGTTCAGGCTGAGTATCGAACATTCTCATGATCAGAAATAGCAGCATCAGGGCTGACATTGATACTCCACTGTCGAAAAAATACAAAGTTCACCTAATTATATTAAAAACAGAATGAAAAGTATTGGGTAATGCAGGGGAACTGGTCCTGACCTATCACAAGCACTCTCAGGCACCTACACCACCAAGCTTACTTAGACGATTTGAAAAGGAACTGACGACAGGAAAGCCACGGATACCGATCAACCGCCATTTTTTGCAATGCCTCCAGCCAAGCACAATGTGACCCGACATAGGACGGTTCAGCAGGCGTTCGAGGAAACAGTTCTGAATGTTTCGTCCACTAGCTTCTCAGTGGCTAAGCCAGCTTTGCGCATTTTGCGTAGACCTAAGAAACGCAATGGAAAGCACCAGTGTACAGGTGCATAGTCGGAGTCCACGCTAGTATTTCAGGGGCTACTCGTTGATTCATTCACAAAAATTTAAATGGACCGAGAACTTTGAAAAAAGTTTAACTGCCCCTCTGCAACACAGCCTCTGGAAATGGTGCATATGAGCGGATGGAACGGAAGAAATAAAATATGAAGTATGCGTACTGAATTGTGAGAAGTGCAGGGCTGATGCTATTACCACAACCTCGTGAACAATCTTTTGTTGACTCTTCCCGTACAAATTGGACCTGCACGATAACTACCTCATTATCGACTGTATAGTTACACTTGATCATCGGATAGCGCATCAGGTATCAATGATTTGTGTCAACAACACTCGCATTACATGCGCCATAAATGGAGTAAGTCGCCAGGTTATATTTTCAAAAGGGTTACACCTTAGGAAAAGACGGAGTGCAACTGGAACAAACGGTGGAGAATGCTGTCGCAGTGCACATTAACGAAAGTAAGGTTTTATTTGTTATTAAGACCCTACGATGCCTTTCATGGATTCCTCATTGGCCAGAAAAACGAAAAAATGAAAAGTTTTGGTAATAGTGATGTCCGAAGTGCAGTATTCACAATACGAAAGCACAAGAGGGGTGATTCTCCAAATAAACGTATTCATAATAAGTTCTTTGCATGGAAAACAGAAGCAAAGTTCACGAGCCGAAGCCCATCATGCAAGGTTGTATATCCTCCCTAGTTAAATGTAGAAAAAACCAACACGACAGTGTATGTTATAGAAGGCACCAGCATCGGACAGTTTACCCGGTTTCAATGCAAACCAAACTTTCGAGGAACAACTTATGACTTATTAATACCGCGAACTTCTCCAACTCCTTATCCGCACTTAGGCCTTTCGTGTCTTTGGCCGTTAACTCAACTGCCCAAGGTCAACCATAGACGCGATTTTCAGTTTCACTTTAAGTCGACCGGCTTCATCGGTGCACCGTAATCACACAATGGAGTTTCACGGATTCACGGATTGATACACAGGATCGAGGCTTTTGCCCAAGTTTCCCGGGTGGGTTTTGTTCTTGCTGGTCAGTGGCTGTCGCTCACCTGAAAGGTACAAGTGGAAAAAGGGTGTAGCACCGCTCTTTATGTTCTCAGCGCGGGGCAGTATGCTTGCCAGCGCGAGGATTCGCATAAATAAACGTCTAATAGTGCTTTAAACTGGGTTATAGAAGGAGCGTGAACAACCGTCGGAGGGAGGTCATTCTGCACACCTACTACCCGAAACGAGAAAAAATTTATCCAATGAATGTGTGTGCCCTGAGCTTGAAACTTTTCTTACTATGTGCCCGCCGGGTGTTTGCTGGGTCAACGGTGAAAAACCTGTTTGCCAAGCTTTGTTCAAACAGGGCGCAAGTAAGAATTAGGTCCCCTCGGAGGCGACGGTACTCCAGGGGAAAGAGATCAAGCATCGCGAGACGCGTTTCGTAGTC